CAGACATAGCCATCTCGTTGATGTCATCAGGTCATCATGCATACACTTCGTGATTGCAGGTAGCTCTGAAATTGCGGCATAGGGACTCAACGTGGTATCTTATGGCGTAAACATCTACATAAGGACGGGAATCAGGGTTGGGAGGATCATTTACAAAGATAATATGAGTTATAATACACCCCATTAATTTCCACGTGACTTTTTTGGCTACTTTACGTAACGTGCTGCAAAATCACCGGACAGTCATCACGCAATAACCCCCGTCTGCATGGATATTTGTCCCTGTTATTCTGTCGAAAATAAAAAAGCCAGCCAAAGCGAAAAAAAAAGGCACTTCATGTTTGAAATTTCTCAAAAATCTTGATCAAGTAATCATTTTTTGGACAATCTCTCCGCCGGTTGAAGGGGTTTATTTATTGAAAGTGGCCTTAGGGGTGAATATGCAGAGCTTTGCATGTGGTCAGTTTGTATTCTGACCCTAATTATCAAATTAAACATAAAGAGTTTATGATGCAAAATCAATACATACATCGTATAGAGGCAGTTCATTCGTGAAAAGTAGAAATGTTGAACAACTTTTCCTTTAAAATAAAGAGTACATATCTAAAATTAGCTGTGGATTAACTGAATCCTCTTTATTGAAGTCCCTCTCATTAAAAATAACGATTTTCATGATATTCTACAAAAATTGTCACTATGAAATTGTTACTCTCTTCTTCTATAGTTAACAATAATTTACCAATTAGGAGGTGTATAATTGTTTAAGAATATACCACACAGAAACCGAAAAAAATAGTTTAAATTGCCTCTTGAGCTGCTCGGAGTAAATAGTGCTTGCTAATCGCTTCCGAAACAGCCAATAAGCGCGCGCGAAAAATACTACTAACCTGTGCGATGCATACTAAAAATAATAATTTTTTTTAGGAGGGCACGGTAACGAATCCTGCAATCTTATTGGTTCTTTACCCGGTCAATATTTTCCTATCTCTGCCCACGGGCCACGGTAACGCTTTCGTGAATCGCCGAGTACATCCCAAATTTCGTTGCCATTTTTCATAAATATATCTCGTTTTTTCGGCTGGGCAGTATTTTTAAGCAAACAGGTCGGTTACTACCTCAAGCCGATAAATAACTTATGAATCCTCTCTTTTCTCTCTCTCAAATCACTTTGGCCGACAGAAAAATATTGGTTTCAGAATGAATTTGTAGAAACAATAGTGTCATTACGTTGGTTGAAAAGCGGCCTAAAAACCGTCTGCAGTTAATTTTAATCGTCCACAAAAAGTACCTAGAAAGTTAAAACGTAAGGTATTTCGTTACAGTTAAACGATGGAACTTTCATTCATTTAATACCTTAATTTTCTCAAGCAATTTGTTCATAGTGAAAAGAGCGAGCAAAGTTTTAATTTAAGTTCTACAACAAATATACACTCTCGGTGAGTCTTTCCAGGCCCATTCAATTTGGACATTTGTACCGTAAATTGCACGAAGAAACTGAAGGACTTTTTTGAGAAAAGGCCGCATTAAACCCCCTTGTGTATTGTTGGAGTGTTCCATTCGAATTTAGTTTTTGTGAAGGACCAGATTTACACATGCCATTGCATCAAACAAACGAGCAAATTCTCACAACTTCAAAATCAAAAATT